GTAGTATATCATCCGCATAAATATTTAGTTTAACCTGCCCCAATGAATATCTATAGCCTGTATTTTTTTTTTATTTTGTCTTACAGTGATGGCTAAAGGTTCTAATACTAATATGTATGACAGTGGGGAGAGGGGGCATCCCTGTCTTGTCCTGTTTTTAAATGTTAAAAATTTGAGGTAAATCTGGATCCCATGACTTTTGCCTGTAGAGACTCATAGAGAGCAGATACCACTTTTAGAATTAGACCTGCAAATCCAAATTGTTTTAATATTGCTGGCATAAAGGCCCACCCTACCCTATCAAAAGCCTTCTCAACGTCTATTGATAGAAGTATGAGTGGGATACTCTTTGTCTCTGTTGCCTCCAAAATATCTATTACTTTCCAAAAATAGTTTTTTTTAAATTCTTTATTTTTGTTGTGCATGTTATACATAGCGATGATATACACCCCAAAAGCGTGTCTGAGGATGTACTGAAATTGAACAGTGGCATGAGGAATTGCACAGTTTTATATAGTGATAACAATCATCAGCTTGGCTAAACAGTTTAGTCATTAGAATAGAGTGAAAAGAGTGAAAAAGTCAACGTTTAACAATGCTAACATAGTTGTTTATGCTAACTTAGTTGTGCACATTTTTAAGATACTTATAAAGAGGATGGGCATGGTGAAAACATGCAGCTTGCATGTGCCAGGTATATCTAAGTAGTTGTGTCATCAGAGTAAATTAGAAAATCAACGTTTAACTTTGCTTAATTAGCTAAACTAGTGTACAAGTTGAGTAGGCATTATAAACAGGCTTATTAAGTTATGTAGGGGATTAACAGCATGGAGTATAAACTTTAATGAACCAAATTAGCTGACATTTAAATGTGGTGCAATCTAAGGAGTGTGTTCCAGGTAATTCTCTGAGCCTAGGCTAGCAGGTAACTTAAATGTCCCAGGAGGTGTGCGACAGAGTCTTCTTTGGCAGCATGGACATGGTTGTGTGGTAGCTGTCCAAACTGCTATGCAGCAGTGAGAGTCATCCGACTCCTGTGGTTGGCACCAGCAACTCACATATTGGAAAGTCCCATGGGGCCTCGGCCTTGCGAGTCAAGTAGGCTGGAGGAATTCCGCCACTGCTTCCCGGCCTTCCGTGAGTAACGTGGGTGGCGGGGATGCTTCCTTGGTGAAGGTAGCTTGTTGTGCCGCTTATGGGATATCATTCTGATTCGCTTGATGTCCCCTTTTGGTTGCTGGCTGTTGTGGCCCGTTTATTTGCGTTTTGAGTTGTGAAATTAGATTTTAACATAGCTTAGTGCAGGAGCTCTTGAGGTTCACGTCCTCACGGCTCTGCGGTCAGGCCCCCCCCCCACTTTCTGAATATTGTTAACTGATGACCGGCCTGGAATAAAACCAATCTCATCATTGTTAATGAGATCTGGTATAACGGATTTCAGTCGTTTCGCGAGAATCAATTAAAATATTTTAATGTTGGTATTTATTAATGAAATTGGTCCAAAATTACTTATCAGTTATGGATCTTTATCTGGATTTGAAATTGGGACAATATTTGCTCTCAATATCTCTCCAGGGTATCTTCCTGTAATTATCATGTAATTAAAAACATTTGTGAGTTCTTCTTTTAATTGATCTTTCATAATTTTAAAAAGCCATCTGGGCCCGGGGCAGTTCTTTCTTTAAGCTTATCTATTGCTTTAATAACTTCTGTTTCTGATATAGGTTGGTTTATTGCTTCTAATTGGTCAGGCAGAATTTTGGGCAATTTTATATTTTAAAAGAATTTTTTAAATTCTTCTGCACTACCAAATGAATCCTCTGGTAGGTTATTTAGGTCTCTATAAAATTTTTCCAATGATCCACCTATTTGTTCTGCGGCCATACTGTATGTATCTTTATCCCTAATTCTAGATATCACTCTTATTTTTTTCCTTGTTCAACTTACTAGTCATAAGTACTTCTGGCTTATTGTCTTTTTTGTACCATTTAGATTGAAAAAAAGCTCTTTTTATCCAACTCAAATGGGTAATTGCAAATGTATGCACTGCTCTATATTTTTTATATTTTATTTGCTATTAATGTTGAAGGTGTTTTATTCTGTTTCTTATATTCATTTAGCACTATGTATAGCTCAGAAAGTGGGGGGCCTTCTTTTTTTCATTCTGGCTGCCATCCCCATCAGATGGCCTCTAATTAAGCTTTTGTAAGCAGACCATACTACAATATCTGATGTGCCTTTGTTTTTGTTTTCCCAGTAAAATAGTTCAGTTATTTTTTTGATCTGTTCAATGTTGTAGTTTTTATATAGTATATTATCATTCCGTCATCAGTCTTTACAAAACTTGTCAAAAGCATCTTTCTAATCCAGTATAATTGGGCTATGGTCTGATAATGTTATATCCTGTATTGCAATCTTTTAACAAGGTACAGCATGGCCACATCCCCCAGGATAAGATCGATTCTGGAATAGGAATTGAATGATTTTGAATAACGTGAAGTCCAACTCCAGTGGATGAAACGTTCTCCAAATATCCCTAAGATTATATTGATGAATCAAATTTTGTAATCTTTCTGAAGTTCCTTTATTAATCTTGTTTCCATTATAGTTCTTCCTATCTTCTTTCTTATCTGTTATCCAGTTGAAATCACCCATAGTTAATAGCAACCCTGTTTGATTTGATCTTTGTTATAAATTTTATAGTAGACTTATTAGGTGCATATATATTAGCTAATGTAAAAAGTGTATTATTTATTTTGCACACAAGAATGATATATCTTCCTTCTTTATCAAGATCTTGGTATTTAATGTTTATGGCCATATTTTTGGAAAACATAAAGGCCACCCCCCTTTTTTTTTCTTCCAGAGTTGCACTTATAACAAGCAGATAATTAATAGATCTTATATTAGTTTTGTCAGTTTTTATCCAATGTGTTTCTTGTAATGCACTAACTTGTATTTAGTTTTTCGTCAGGAAATCCAGAATTAGGGATCTTTTAAATGGTGAGTTAATCTCAAGAGCATTCAATGATGCTAGCTTAATTTAATGATTTCTGCCAGCTCTGAGGGCTCTTTCTCTCTCCAAATTGTACACTACTGCTATCATAACATAGGATATATATATATATATATATATAAAATAAAATTACACACATAGACAGGCTGGTGACTATATGTTTTATTGATGTTTTATACAAGTTCAATCTACCATTTTGTCCTAACAGTAGTACTCAACTCGTACTCAATATCATCCATATTGTGGATGAAAGTTTCTGCATCCATTCTAGAGAGTTTTAAACACCCACTCTATTTAAACTATTCTGAGTGTTACATATTTGGAGTTGGCAAGATCTATGGATAAAAAGACATGGACATGGACATCTTGTGAACAACACACTGTCCTTGCAATTAAATTTACATGTCATATAGTTTTTGTGGGTCGATTTCTTGGAGGTTCAAATACTGAGCATATTTGATGATGCCCCACAGAATAAAAACACGTACACAGATTATCTAGAGATAACTCACAGATCTAAATTGGACTCCAGGATTTCAATTCTAGTTCTGTTCATTAAACGAAAATAGCAAGAAGCTAATCAGAACATCCTTTTTTTAATTTTATTGTAGTAAGTCTTTAGTAACATTTTTTTCTCCTGTCACATCCTGCTGCTCAGATTGACAACTTTCCTAAACAGAGAGTGTTTTTTTAGCAGCGAAATGTACACGTAGCAAGTTTTGTGGCAATTGCAATTAAAAATATTGTCAGTGTTCAATTATTGTAGCCTCCAGATAATGAATAAAATGTAGATATGACAATATTGATTTTTGTTTATTTATGTCTTATATCTTGGCTAATTTATACTCCATGTCTTTGTTTTTGTATTTTGTTTGTTTTTCTTGTAGATGTGTATTTTATGAACTATATCAAGACAAGTTATTAATTTATAAAATTAATTATGATTAACTGGACACCACCTTATATCAAATATCAAACGAAAGTAGCTAAAAAAAAATAAACAAGTTATTGTATTAGTCAAACCATACAAGTTAACTGTCAGATATCAAATGTTTAACAAATAGACCCCCTAGTAAACTTTTTTTTTCTACATTGTTGCTGTGCTTAAATATTTTATTAGGTATTAGCTTTTTTAGCTTGATTATTTGCCAAATTTACCTTCTGTTTTTTTTAACCTTTTTCATCATGTCAGCAAATTTCAAAGCTAATTTTTAGTGTCATGTCAAATACTTTATTAAAAATTAAGAAATAAACCAAAACATTTAAAAACTAGGTATTTAAAAGAATTTCAGGGGCGGAGCCTGACCACCAAGCGTAGAAAACGCGGGTTGTGTGAGCTCCTGCTCGACGGGCGCAATCAGTCGGTAAAGCGGGGATTATAAAGCCTAAAGACATCTCAGGGTGCACTGCCCATGCTGGGGGTGCACCACAGAAGCGACTGCCGCTATCCTGATGCCTGTCAGAGATGGAGGCGCTAAACGCAGAGCGCGGCCCACAGGACCTGGAGTGAGACTGCCGCTCTCCCAGACTCGGGAACGATCCGACAAATATCCTACCCCCTCCCCCCCTTGGAACAGCGGGGGTCATCCCAGTCCTCCCCAGCCACACTAAGAGCATCCTAGGATGGATCGGAGGGCCACGAGGCTTGCAGGGGTAAGGCAACGTTACATTGCAGCCAAGATGCCGGCCCAGCGCAGGCCCCAGCCAAAGGGCACAAGCATCCAGCAGCCGCATCAGCCTACAGCAGCCATGGACCAGCTTTGTGAAAGATTCTGGGCAATACTCTGTAGTCGAGGGGCGACACCATACCAAGCGATGAAAGCGGTGGGTACGTGGATCCGCCCAGCCACCAGGCGCCGCTACTATGGAATGTTACTGCGGACCCCCAAAACAGCTACCTGGCGGGATAATGGCGATCGACCTACAAAGTGGGCAGCAACTCCTGGGCATGCGGACACTAATACCTGCCCACATACAAGCAGAAACTGGGGCGCTACACTAAACCCACACAAAAGCACCTCACCAGACCCAAGACCTGGAGTTCTCCAAGACAAGCAGCTACCCTCTAAGGAGTTAACCGCCTACCAGCAAGCTGTGAGTAGACACATGCCACCACCCATGGCAGGGACTCTGCCCCTACATCGAAGTGCCACGGAATATACCTGCTCATACGGACAGTGCCCACAACACCAATGCCTAGAAAACCCCTCCGGGCACGCAGGCATGGCCTCCAGGATGGACATCAAATGAGGCAATCCGGACTGCCACATTGTGAGGCCCAAAGCCACAGACCCTGCACACACGGCAGAGACTCCCTCCGTTCACCGCATATGTAATTACCAGATGAGCAACACCTTTCACCCGCTAGACATGGGTACAGACACTCAGCAATTGAAAATGTCTTTGTAAATGTAGCTTAACTTACTGCAAAACAAGGCTCAGAATGATGCACAGCCTCTCAGACATGCCTATTACTTGTGCCTCGCTTACATGTTAAACTGCATGCATAGCCCCACTAGGCATATCTTTATGTCTAGTTTGTTAACCCTTTGCAACACTATAAAATGCTTACACATATAGATGCACACAGCGAAAGAACTAATACTGACCACACGACATATATATACCTGAAACCATAGAACACGAATGATCAATTTGACTCCAAGCTACTTTCCTAAACAAATGTGTGCATGTCTTAAACATACTCTACTCAACCCTTTAGTTTAACCTTGTATATTTTAATCTTGCATTAACCGTTACAGTTCTAACCTGATATCACCATAAAAATGTGCAGTCTAATCGCATGCCATGTCATATACATTGTTCCAATTCGGTCTGCTAATGCTATTATGGCAAGACCAAATGTCAACTGTCTGTATATACACAAGAAAAATAAAGAATAAAAATCAAAAAAAAAAAAGAATTTCAGCATTACACCTTGCCACGTAATATGTGATTTGCTTAGAGCATTCAAAACATGAACATAGTTACAATTAAATACATCAAAGTTAACAAAACATCTTGAATTAATGTTGAACCATTTTGATACAACTTTTGGACATTATTATAAATTAAAATATTGAAAAACAAACTAATGCATGCTGGCTGTTTAGAGATTTACAAAAATGGAAATAAAGACATGGCAAAATGAATAAAACTAAAAACATCTTGCATGTTTTAGGTAAAATATATTCAACCAGAACAATTATAGTTAGAAATCATCAGGTCAAATAATCTGTGTACTTGGCAGATGGCAGGGATCTTCAAAATGTAAAAATATGCATCAAATCAGGCAAAAAAAAAAAAAAATGTTAAACCACCTGCCATTTTTCATTTTCTATAATTTCAATACATCAGTGACATGCTAAGTCTCAAAGGCTTAAATCAATTGAGACTATTATGTGTCAATAGAAATCACAACTCCGATTGATTTACCAAGGGTAAGACCGCATCAAATTTTCCTGCTGACATCAATAACAGCTATATAATTGATTGCAAACTGTCAAATATCAGATTTCAAATTATATCTGATGGTAAGCGTACACATAACTACTGATGCTAATTTTGGTGTTACTGTGCATTTCTGTCAGTCACTTGAAAAACTCTAATTAAAACTGTCTTTAGAAAAATGTTTTAAACAAGCTTTTACGATAGTTCATATTGCAAAGCCTTGTATTTGTTTTTATGTACCTGCTGTGTACTCAACGTAAGGCGCATGCTGTTAGTCATGTCCTAGTATGATTGGCCAAAAAAAAAAAAATCACACTATTAAAAGTGGTAGTTAAAGGGACACTCCAGGCACCCAGACCACTTCTGCCCATTGGAGTGGTCTGGGTGCCAACTCCCACTACCCTTAACTCTGCAAGTGTAATTATTGCAGTTTTTTATAAACTGATATAATTACCTTGCAGGGTTAACTACACGTCTAGTGGCTGTCTATTAGACAGCCACTAGAGGGCACTTCCTGGTCTATAGCACAGAAAACGCTGTGTGAGGACCTCCAGCGTCGCTCAATTCCCCATAGGAAAGCATTGAAAAGCATTTTCAATGCTTTCCTGTCGGGAGCTCTAATGTTGCCGATGTAATCATTGGGAGGAGCGGCGGTGGAGGAAGAAGCAGCGACGTGGAACACCCCTTCAGCAACCGGGGTTTGGGAGGTGGGAGAGAGAGGGGACCTGCAGTGCCAGGAAAACGGATTGTTTTCCTGGCACTGGAGTTTCCCTTTAACCTGAACATGGAATGAAATTAGTACTGCTAGAATAGTTATGTGATTATTAAATTATTTAGCAAAATATATGTATAAGTATTAACTAAACAGTGCTTTTTTTATCTGATATTTTAATTTAGCTTGATGTAGCTGGATTGAATCTAAAATAACTTGTTGAGTTGAATGGGTGTTCTGACATGAGTATGCAGTCCTATATTTTTTAACAAATGACTGTTCAGTGAATAGAACTCATACAAAATTAATGATAACTCATTACCCATACGATCGTTGAAATAATGCACAACATAAGACATGGGTCACTGTATCCTGCTGTTCTTAAGTTTGTTTCCTTGACATAAATAAGAATGTTAAAACATTGTTATTAAACTAAGTAGAAAACCTCCCTAGATACCAATAGGTTCAATAAGCTAAAAGAAAATACATTGAAAGAAACTTTAGATTTGATCCTGGTGAACCCGTGCATATTTATATAAACTTTAAGGTATGTTCATGAAGATTAATTACATTCAAAATAGTTCACAGAAGCAGGCACTGCTGGACTGATATTATGAACAGACACTACTCAAGCATCCGGCCGAGTTTAACTGATTTTTACTTTCAACCTGCTTATACAATGTCTGGAAAGAAAACAGATATTGGAGGAAACCTTTAAACTGGAAATTCATTAAAGTCAAATAAGTTGCAATGGCATCTATCATCTGTTGCAACCAATGTAGACCGCTCAGGATAGTTACAGCTTAGTACAGTTAGATTAAAGGACAGGTTTCCATGAAAAGTATAGTCTGTCCTTTACAAAGCACTGTTCATAGTCAAATCCTTCAAGTGTACAAGGTCACTTGTTTCAGATAGGCTTCCAGGTAACATGTATCTGAGGCAGGGCCGGCGCTTCCTATAAGGCGAACTAGGCAGCCGCCTAGGGCGCCATATAGGACGGGGCGCCCTGCGCCCCCATCGCCGGCCCTTTAAATTCTGCAGCCGCCTGAGCGCTCTATAGAGAGCGCTCAGACGGCTGCCTCACTGCCTAACCTGCCCTGCCCTGTAGCGTGGCCTGAGCACTGAGTGTGCACTTCCTGCCAGTCCCGCCGGGTCACAGACCGGATAGGAGCTCGGCCACGCTACAGTGCCAGGTAGGTGAAGAGATGATTAAAGGGAGAGTGGGGGGGAGAGAAGGGGAGAGGGCGGTGGAGGTTATAGGGGAGGGGGCTGGAAGATCATAGAGGGGGGAGAAGATTTATGGGGAGGAGGGGCTGAGAAGATTATAGGGGAGGGAAGATTATAGGAGGGGAGGAGAAGACTGAGTGGTAGAGGGGGGGAGATTATAGGGGAGGGGAGGGAAAGATGGAGGGGGAGAAGATTACAGGAGGGGAGTGGAGAAGGTATTACAGGGGGGGAAGATTACAGGAGGGAGGGGGGAGTGGAGAGAAGACTGAGGGAGGGGGGGAGAAGAAGAAGATGATTGAGTGGAGGGAGGAGGAGAAGACTGGAGGATGGGGAGAAGAAGATTACAGGAGGGAGGTGGGGAGAAGAAGAGAAGATTACGGGGGAGAAGAAGAGATTACAGGGAGGGAAGGGGGAGAAGAAGAGAAAATTACAGGGGGGAGGGGAGAAGATTACAGGGAGGGGGGAGAAGAAGAGAAGATTACAGGGAGGGGGAGAAGAAGAGATTACAGGGACTGGGGGAGAAGAAGAGGAGAACACAGGTAGGGGGGGGGAAGAAGTGGAGAACACAGGGAGGGGGAATAAGATATGTTTGTTAATCCCTATATAAACTTGTCTGCCAGGCTTACTATCTATCTCTACTTGATAAAGCCTTGAAAATGCAGTGTGTACATTAAAAAGTCTGCAGGGAAAGGCCATACTCACTAGAGCAACTACAATAAACTAGTTGTTCTGGTGACTATAGTGCACTGGTGGCCCGTTGCCTCCCTGAGAAAATAGTAAAACGCAGAGGCTCTCCCGTGCACTCACTTGCCAGTCCTGCTGTGTGTCTTCACGGAGCGGTGGGGAGATCAGAGATCTCCCTCACAGGCTCACTGGCTCTTAAATGTGGTAGCCGGGAGGGGAGGGGAAGACACACACAGTGCATCCCTCACAGAGACAAGAGCACCCTCCACACACCACACCCGTCACACACTTCAACTCCTAAACCTCACTTTAGGCACTATCCCTTACTATAGCCCCTATCCTGGCAAACCCTAGGTAAGTTGTCAAACTCTTCTTAATCGGTCTGACTACTTACTCTAGTAGGGTGCCACAGCACTCCTGGCACCATAACCACTACATAGAGCTGTAGTGCTTATTGTGCCTGAATTGTTCCTTTAAAAATAATCTGCCAGTGTCCTTCTCAAGATTAGGTTCTGGATCTGCCCCTCTATAGTGACCCTTTAAATGCATGCAAGTTTTTATTTGGGTATATCTACTAAACAGTGATTTTTATTTTGTATGAGGCAGTGAAGTGTCTAACTTTTGTCTATCTTCAGGTTACAAATAAGGAAAAGTAGAATCCTGCAGTGCCCCCCTCCCTTTTATGTGGCCAAAATGGGTTAAAACCCCTTCAGTCACTTACCTGAATCCAGCGCCTATGTCCCTCTGCACTGTGTCAGGCTCCGCACATGCTCCTCCCTTGCTGACGTCAGCCGGTGGGGGGGGGGGACCTAATACGCATACGCGGCAATGGCCACTAGACCTCCTCCTATGGGGATTCCGGTGACGCTGGAGGTGCTCATGCATAGCGTGAGGACGTCCAGCGTTGTTTAAAACACTTTTGGTGTTCTAAGAAGCTGGAAGTCCCTCTAGTGCCAGTCTGAGGAGGACTTAACCCTGCAAGGTAATTATTGCAGTTTATAAAAACTGCAATAATTACAGTTGCAGGGTTAAGGGTGATGGGAGTTGGCACCCAGACCACTCCAATGGACAGAAATGGTCTGGGTGCCTGGAGTGTCCCTTTAAGACAAAAAGTGACAGATCCGCTTTGACAACAGTGAGTAGCATGACCCATAGTGTACTGAACAGTCAGGATTCAAGCGCTCAGACTGAGAACTGCCTTCTGATTGGACAAGGCATCACCCACTTCTAACAGGAAGTGACGTACCGAGCTTGGCTTACTGGCTACAGATGCGCATGTGCGAAGCGAGGAAACCGGACATCTACACCGAGACCGTGCGCGCACCCGGGGCTAGGTGGGAGTGCGCTGGGGAGGTGAAGTATAGCGCAGTAGTGAATGATACAAGTATCACAGAGAGAGTGGGAGTATGTGAGAGCTGTAGGTTCGGGTATCTACGGGTTAAATGCGTGTGTGAGCCAGTCACGTACGTAATATATGAACTGAACACACTGCCCGGCGAAAAAACAACAACATTATAAGAGTCGTGTTATCAATGTAATGCTTATTGTTCTCTCAGTGTGCTAAAAATGTGGAAACCGAATTCCAAAATGTAGATTATACTGAGAGTATAAAGCTGTGAGAGGAGCTCCTCCGTGCAGCTAGTTCTGCCTACATTTTATAATTTGCTTTTCACTTCATTAGAGCCAAGCAATAATCTGAGAAAATGATTCGGTAATAATCAAGACGTCAAGTACTCTGCTACGTTTGCTATCCTCTTCAGTTTACTGAGCTGCATCTGGATAGTTCCATGTTTAGAACTCCGCCAAATCAGCCAGAATGCTTCTTGCAATAGCTCAAGATTATGAAGCTACATGGTCTATTTTCCCTTCCCTCCTCTATTGTTATCCCTCTCACAATTGTCAATCGGGTAAGGGATTAGGAGGGACTACATCTTCTGATTCCTCTTTATTGAAGGAACCCACAAATACCATAACCACTACAGTCAACTGTAGTAGTTATGGTCCCAGTAGTTCCATCCTATGAAAAAATTCAAACTGTTTAGCAGGCATAAACCCACAGCCACATCTGCCACATTCAGTCTTGTCCAGCAGGAGATGCCAGATTGCTAAGTAGACAGCATAATGGCAGTGCTCATTAGTTAAAGGGACACTATAGTCCCCAGAACCACTATAGCTTAATCCTGCAGGCTGAGCAATGAAAAACGCTGGCCTTTCAGGGAAAAGACAGTGTTTACATTGCTGCCTAGTTACAATTCAAGTGGCAGTAACTGGAGGTACTTCATAGTCCAGTACTGCACAGTGTGCAGTACCTAAGTACAGACTCTCCATGGTCTGCATGGAGCCAGTAAATGCTTTTCATAGAAGTACATTGATTCAATGCATCTCTATGAGGAGATGCTGATTGGCGTTGTGTGGTGTTTTGCTGTGCATGCGCAATTACCTTTTTACTCGACAGAGAGTGGGTGGGGGACCTAAACATTTATTCCAAAAATTTAGTTTGAGGAATGCTTGTTTGTATTCTTAACGCTAGTGTTCCTTTTAACCCCTTCACGACCGAGGACGGTTCAGGACCGTCATCGGCATTTTTGCCTTGCAGACCGATGACGGTCCTGAACCGTCCTAACGGTCTGAGTTACTTACCTGATCGCCGTCGTTCCCCCGGCGGCGATCAGCGTGGCTCCGGTTGTGGGGAGACTGCCTGCAGCCCAGACAGTCTCCCCACACTGAATTAGGACCCCTGTGGCCATGTGATCGCTCAACAGAGCGATCACATGGTCACAATAGGTGTCCATGTGTCTGACTGCAGGGGGACTGCCTGTGCTGACAGGCAGTCTCCCTGCTAGTGTAAAATAAAAAAAAAATAAAGTTAGTGTTAACAAAAAAATAATTATATATGTGTATATATGATATATAGACATATATTATACGTATATAATATATGTCTATATATCATATATATAATGCCATACTAAGTGTATTTTTATATTAATATAAAAATACACTTATAATTAAATTACACACGTGTGTATATATATATAATAACTATATATATTGTATATATATTATAAATAAGTAATTTAAATTAAATAAAAAATTTTTAAATAATAAAAATTTTAAAAAATTATATATCTATATGAAATTTTATTCTAACTGTATTTTAAAATTAATATATATTTATATCAAAATACACTTAGAATGAATTTGTATATATATCTATGTATATATAAATAAATAAAAATAATACGAAATATACATATGTCCATATACAAAATTACATAAATAATTATAGAAATATACACGTAGACTTCAAATATATAAATATGCATATATATTTAAATTCTACGTGCGTATTTATGTAATATTTTTACATAATTCAGTAATTTTATTGATTGCAATTTGAGGGACCTGCCTGCCAACCCAGGCCGAAATTCCAGAGAATTGAATTTGCTAGCACTGTATTTTACCCTGTAACGTTCTACGACACCCTAAAACCTGTACATGGGGGTACTGTTTTACTCGGGAGACTTAGCTGAACACAAATATTAGTGATTCAAAACAGTAAAACATATCACAGCGATGATATTGTCAGTGAAAGTTACTTTTTTTGCATTTTTCACACACAAACAGCACTTTTACTGATGATATAATTGTTGTGATACGTTTTCAGTTTTTAAACACTAATATTTGTGTTCAGCTATGTCTCCCGAGTAAAACAGTACCCCCCATGTACAGGTTTTATAGCATTTTTGAAAGTTACAAGGTCAAATATATGGGTCAAATATTTTTACAGTGAAAATGGCCAGGTTGGTTACGTTGCCTTTGAGAGCGTATGGTAGCCCAGGAATGAGAATTACCCCCATGATGGCATACCATTTGCAAAAGAAGACATCCCAAGGTATTGCAAATGGGGTATGTCCAGTCTTTGTTAGTAACCACTTGGTCACAAACACTGGCCAAAATTAGAGTTCAATTTAGTTTTTTTTACTTTTTTCACACAAATAAATATGAATGCTTACTTTGGCCAGTGTTTTCGACTAAGTGGCTACTAAAAAAGACTGGACATACCCCATATTGAATACCCTGGGTTGTCTACTTTAAAAAAAATATGTACATGTGGGGTGTTGTTCAGAGATTTATGACAGATAATAGTGTTACAATGTCACTATTGATAAATTTTAAAAATGTATGTTTTGAAACCGCAATATCCTACTTGTACCTATAGCCCTATAACATGCAAAAAAAAGCAAGTAAACACTGGGTATTTTTAAACTCATGACAAAAAGGAGTAAAAGATTTTTCAAGTAAAAGTCAAAAAACATGTATTTTTTTAAATTTTTCATCATATTTTTTTATTTTTTTTAAAATTAAAATACATGAGATTATATAACTAATGGTATGTAAAGAAAAGCCCCTTTTGTCCTGAAAAAAACAATATATAATTTGTATGGGAACAGTAAATGAAAAAGCGAAAAATTACAACCAAACACCACAAAAGTGTAAAAATATGCCTGGTCGCAAATGTACAACATCGCAAAAACAGTCCAGTCCTTAAGGGGTTAAGCATATTAGCTGAGCTCTCTCTGTAGAGTAAATCACAGCAGAAGTAGAACCGTACTCCCTGACAGGGACATCTGACTACCTGCGCACTATATACAATCCCTATACACCTTTAACTAACAGGAGGTTTTTAGTATCACTCCAATGGCCAATTAAGTGGAAGCTCACATGCCTCGTTAAGGCAATCATCTTGCGTGAGTCCTACACTAGCAATTCACCTTGCTGCTTTCAGTTAAAAGGTGAAAACTCTGAGGCAGGCTTTTTTTTTTTTAGTTCTATATACTTGGGCTGATGTATATTATAGCCATTGCCGCTGCCAAGGAGTAATGGGAATTTGAGTACAGGGCTTAATTTAGTGTGTTTTGTAACTTTATTTGTTTGATACATATTTTAATCTATATCTTGTATGGAATTTGGATAACTTTGTTTTGCTGATATTTAACCAATCTCTGTATTGTTATATATTGTATGTGCATGTTCTGTGTGAAACGCCATTTGCAATTAGGATTTCTGGAAAGTGGAAACACATCACTTATGCATGCTAAAGAGCAGCATGTGTACTGTTCTCCTCATTTCTATGTAGACTTAAAATTCTGCTTGTGGTAAACTAATCCATTTCATTGGGATTCCTGCACTAGTTTGCTATCTGTAGTATATGAATTCTTTGTAAAAATATGCATTATCTTTCATGAGTTAAAGGACCACTATAGTGCCAGGAAAACAAACTCATTTTCCTGGCACTATACAGTTTTTGGGTACCCCCCACCCTTTAGGTCCCCCTCCCGCCGGGCTCAAGGGAGAGGAAGGGGTTAAATTCTTACTTTTCTCCAGCACCCTGGACTCTCCTCCCTCTTCCGACGTCATCCGCTGAATGTGCGCATTCAGTCAGTCCATAGGAAAGCATTTCTCGATGCTTTCCTATGGGCGCTGGTATCTTCTCACTGTGAAAATCACAGTGAGAAGCACGGATGCGCCTCTAGCGGCTGTCAATGAGACAGCCACTAGAGGCTGGATTAACCCTATTGTAAACATAGCAGTTTCTCTGCAACTGCTATGTTTACAGCAGGCAGGGTTAACCCTAGATGGACCTGGCACCCAGACCACTTCATTGAGCTGAAGTGGTCTGGGTGCCTATAGTGGTCCTTTAACCATCAGCATGGAAAAAGTGATGTGTGTTCAGGAAAATCTGTTTGGTAAGGAGGCATAGTAATTGGGGCATACACACGAATTGCTGAACAGTTTCTAAAAGCACAAGATATAGGTAATTTGTTACTTTGCCTCAGTATGTAGCTGTTCACCACTGAATCAATCAGAACACGGCTTACTCAATAAAGAAAGCATATACGTGTTGTGTTAAAAGAGCATTCTACAATTATAAATCTATTTAACATTAAAGGATCACTATAGGGTCAGGAACACAAACATGTCTTCCTGACCCTATAGTGTTAAAACCATCATCTTGGCCCCTCATGCCTCCATAAATATAGCAAAATCTTAGTGTGCCCCCTTTTAACCCCTTAAGAACACATGACATGTCACGATTCCCTTTTATTCCAGAAGTTTGGTCCTTAAGGGGTTAAAAAATAAAATGTTTTTACTTCATCTGTAATCCAGTGCCTGGCAATCTTTGTTGGGTTTCATTTATTGTATTTTGAGAGCTTCTGTCCAATGAGCAGTGGTCACCTTCTGGAACTGAATGCATTTGGAGATGCCTCAGTTTTAAGTCTTACATTTTATAAAATTGTCTGATTCCCACAGCCAGCGCTTGGGAGTGGACAGAACTTTAAGGCGGAAACTCAAAGTTTTGTCATCCTCTGGCTTTGCCGCAAGACAAAGTAGTCTTATAATATCTTTTGGCTATGTTGTAATTTTACTGAAATTCCAATGTAGTCAAAAATACCATCAATATCATCAACATTTCTCTTTATGGAATTTGCTGGCGCTATATAAATAATATAATAGTAATAACGAAATACTCAAAATTGTTGGTAAGATAACCGAGCTACTTTAAATCTTGATGCATAAAGATGTTTATCCAGCATTTTCTTAATAGTCCACAAAGATGAAAAATGGCCAAAACTTTGCTCTCTTTATGATTAGAGTACAACACTGCTGTTTCTTTTTTTCTGCTGTACTAAAACAGTCATAATGCTTTCGCTGGGTACTAAAACAGTCATAATATGCTTTCGCTGGTTCTGCTTTAGTACTGTTACCTTATTATAAACCTTTCTTAACTGAACTACCTTGTGCACACCAGGTTGCTGGGTTGCTCATGTGACAAATGGCAAATGCAGAAGTAACAGTCCCAATGGGGGACGTAGTGGTGATTCCCAGTGATTGTGCCGAGGGTGAGGATCCAGAAGATGCAAAAACTCAGGTCATCTTGCAGCTGCAGCCAATACCCCATGGGTAAGTATTGTAAACCAGACTCTACTTGCTAAGTCAAAAAACATAGCTCCTTATACATCTTTGTTCTATGCCAACCCATCATTCCAAGTATGCTCCAATTGTGTTACTTGTCCCCCCACAGGTTTTGGGTCTTAGCTGACATAAATCTCTTCTCCAATTTTCAAAACCATTTAACATTAATATAAAGTGTTGACAGTCTACTGCTTGACTTCATTGTGCTTCTCTTTCCAACTGATATTTTTTCTTTTTGGCAGCAGTCCTTTTTTTTTTTTTTTACCAGAACAGCATAGATATAAAGCCTTCACAGTTTCATACCTCCTGATGTGGAACTACACCACAAACACATCCTGACACACTGTTTAACCTTTTGATCCTCCTGCTTTTTTTCTCCTGGTTGTACTAAATCCAGCTGTGCTCACACAGGATTTATGGGGATGTATCAGATACCAATGCTGCTGTTGTTTCCTTGGAAACGCACACACTCAAGATGGGAGACACGCTGGGTAAGTAACAATTTCATTCCCTGTAACAGCTTTTGTCCAGCACTAAATGAAGTAATTTAACAGTAAAACATATGCTTGTGGTCTACAGATGGTGGTACAGTGGAGCTGAGTGAGGATATTGACATTGCATATCCAATTACTTGTGGGGAAAGCAAGGCCATCCTGCTGTGGAAGAAATTTGTCTGTCCAGGAATAAATGTCAAATGTGTTAAGGTGAGGGCAGTGGAACTGTGGGTTACAGTTGCCATAACCCATTCACGTAAGAGATTTCAGAATATTGTAAAGCGCCCCGGAATCTGTTGGCGCTATATAAATGGCAATAATAATAAATGAATTATAATTTTAAAGTGGGATTTACACTTTGTATGAACAAGACTGGGCAAATATCAGAAATCTGATATTTGTTGTTTGTAAAATTATATGAATGCTTTGATGTGGATAAATGTACTGTCTACAAAAACGCAAAAAAAAATATCTGTTCAACTTAAGTTTATGCACTTGATTTGCAGGTGGGCCTAAAAAAGGCAACTTCACTTGATAAAACACATTCATTGTTTGATCCAATATTATTTAACCCCATATCACATTTCATATTTATGATATATACCACAATATAAAATTTACATACATAGTTACTCAGTCAGGTAGTTGAACTGGAAAAATTAGCAGGGTTCGAGAATGTTTTAAATTGGTCTTTTTTACTAAAATATTTAGTCAATCCTGAATGTGCATGTACATTTTCACATGTCCTATCTATCTATTCATAAAATGGTGTGCTTGTATATTGAATAGGGGCTACAACATCCCTACAACTACCACAGAAGTATACTATTGCTTACTATTGTTGCAGCCTGGTTTACTGGCCCCATGTATTTAACAAGACAGATGTTTGCTTGTATTAATCTCCAACAGCAAGGTCTCCTTTCATGCAAAAATTTGGCTCAGATTTAAAAAACAAAAAAAATCAAACAAACTGGAATTGTGTTGTGTTTTTTAGTAAGCAAAAAGGTTTTGTCTGCATTGAATATTTTAGTCTATTTTCAGTTTCCATGAAGCAGAATTACAGGTTTTACATATGCATTTAACTTTATCTTGGCTTTTATTTATGATTACACTCACTCTTCTTTTTAGAAGTCATGCCCCTAGTATGAAATTTGTGAAAAATGTTTGATACACCCTTTGCATTAATGATTGTATAAATATATTCACGGGAAAAGGAATTTTGTACATTGATGCTCCATTCCACTTTATAGTGGTTGAGTCTCATACTGTATCTCCTCTGGTTTCAGTTTAATGATCAGCTGATCAGTCCCAAACACTTTGTTCATCTAGCTGGAAAATCTACCTTAAAGGACTGGAAACGAGCCATCCGCTTGGAGGGAGTCATGCTGAGGTGCGTACAGTTACCCTTTCAAGTGTAGAACTTGAACTAGTATGTGGTATACAAGCTAGCAATCCTGTCATTGTCATACTAGTTCTTACATTTATATAGTGTACAATGAGATTGCATTGACTTTTGTGAACATAAAAAGAAGATGCCCCCTCTAAACAGCATCTTGGTTCTAAAAATAAATGCAGAATGTACAATATAATCATTTTTTATGTGAAAATCATACATGTTGAAAAAAACTAATTGCTTGGCATATAGTTGAGAACGAACACTGACAGCTGTATCCAAATTGGGGGGAAAATATGATGAGCATTTACTACCTAAGAGAATATAATTACTTGTAAGTAATGAGAATGTTACTAGAACACTCAATATCATGTATTTGTATAAGCTAAAAGTATTTTTAAAATTTGCATGCTATATTTTCTATTTGTGATGATGAGCGGACTGGCGGGAATTTCAAATCTCGGCGGCAGATTTAGCTGTGTTTTTTTTACAGGCCTTGGGGCTGTAGAAAACAAGCCGATTGATCTTTTGCTTCCCACTTCATGGAGCCATCGTTATTACTCGTTTTGGACCCTGACAATCATGTTGTGCTGTGTGAAATGTTAGATTTCATGTGACTATTTACATTTTGATGGATTTGGCGCTAAAATTTTTATTTTTTTTGTTCAACTTGTTCACTCCAGTGATTTATAAATACCAACCATGATCACCAAATAATTCTAACACTTTGAAGCTAATAATATTTTTCTGTAAATACTTAAATGGATCATATTAACAATTGCACTGTTTCCAATGTATTTCTATTTTTCTGTCCTGCATTGATTTGTTTCTGTGTTCTAATGTCCAAAAAAACACAACATAATTTACCTAAATAAGCCACCTACATTTATTCTGTCTTATGGTGGGTTTAGTTTGTATCACATTTGCATGTCCAAAATCTGAATCTGAATTATAACTCTGGTTTTCTATTTGTTCCTCTCTGCAGGAAAATGATGGATTCAGGGCAGATTGATTTCTACCAGCATGATACAGTCTGCACAAATACATGCCGAAGTACCAAGTTTGACCTCCTGATTAGTAGTGCCCGTGCACCAGTACCGGGGCAGAGCAACGTTGTACAGGCTTCTACCACAGGAGAAGGTATAGGGTAGCCTCTTTAGGACAGGACCATGTGATACAGGAATATGGATTTGATTTCCTTGGGTTGATTGGAGACACTGTTACAATTGTTTCCTTATACCTAGTAGAGCTGTGAGAGCTGGATTATGGCTAAATGACAAACCCTATGGATAAAAGTGTAGTTTACCCGACGATCTATTCCCTCTGCATACAGCGTTTATAACAATTTAAAATGTCTCTGTGCAGAGTTAAATTTTGAAATGCTGCACATACAGACTCCAAGCAGCATGACAACTGCAATAGACAAGTGGTTATGGTGCTTGGAGTAACAGTTTATTAAATAACCCTGAATGTTTTGACAAATGTTCTTGAATTAAAAGTGAATTTCAAATTTAAGGCCACAATAGCCAAACTGAAAGCATAGTTCATATTTTGACCAGTTAGTCCTATTTTGAAATTCACGTGGAATTCTCATTTTACTAAATAACCCTATTTATGTGTGTGGTTAAGCAGCACTGTTGGGTTTTGAGATTTTTATAGATAAATGTCCTAGACTGCACCGGATTTACTTTTTTACCTTTTGAAAATCGTATAGTGAGCAGTTATGCATGATTACAAAGTTAGGATTACTTTTTGTGTATGGTATACCTTGAAGAGACCTGCAGCCTAATGGCATTATAGACACTGCACTGCAGTGGTTCGCTAGCTTGGATTTAACCCTTTCAACAAAAGCAAAAGTGGCAAGATATGCCACCAGTGTCCTTGTGCTGTTCAATGATAAGAAGTCAAACATTTTAAGGATGGTTTGACAACCTATGTGGTACCTGCCAAGTACACTGTGTCTTACTTCTCCAGAAAAAGAAGCAGCCAAATATCGCTATAGGAAAAAAAAAAAATCATGGCTAATGCAAAACCCACACTCATGCTGAGAGCATCAGCAAAGAGCTCTTCACCAATGAGCGCAGTCATAAATTGGCTGTTTTATTCTTTAGAGACGCCCCAGTTGTCAAACTTTTTGATTGTTCCCTGTGAGATGGCGCCAGAGAAATGCTGACCCTGTAGCTAGTATAGTGGTTATAGTGCTTGAATTATTCTTTTAATGACTGCACAAGCGTGTGTTCTGGTCATATGTGCATCTTTTTATATATTATGTGTAGCTTAAACCTGCCCTAAAGGTATAAAATGGAAGATTCTACGATTTCCCTAATCTATAGCGCAGGGACAAACATTTTTTTTACATGGACACTATGGCAACTAAAACAACTTGAGATCGTTTTAGTCCTATATGCTGCATTTTGTTGTATGCTCAAATATGGATAGGTTTTGGAAAGTTCTGTCTATAGGCATAGCCACCTCCCTCTTTCCGACATCAATCTTGCCTTAGTCCTGCATATACACAGCTCAGCCATTGACCGTACTGGACAATGACCCGAGCTGCAGGAAACCCAGAAGCTATCCTGACAAGGAGAGGACATCCGGTAAATAGGTAGTAAATATTTCTCTCTATGTGCATGCCTAGTTAAGGTTGCTTTTATATCCCAGTCATGTGTTTATGCACCTGGGTATGAAAGGTCTGTTTTGGGATTTAATATTATAACCAGCATTTCACATGTAATAGCAAACTGAAATGGAAATTTTAATCACTTTAGTAGCTCCATAGGTCTTTGCCCGACCTGTCAGTTGTGAATGAAAGTCTTCACAATGAGGCTGCACAGCATTGGGAACTGCACAGCCTCGTAGGTCTATGAATCTTGTGATTATTTCATAGCAGATGGTGATGTCATTAGCTATGAAAGTGCTATGTAGTAGATTTACTCCTGAACAGGCAAATGTCATCTTCCCCTTCCAGTAGTGATAAATGTTGCTGGTCCACAGTCCACCGTGGTGGTATATATATTTCATAAAACTATTTTGCTGGTGTTGTGGCTTTATGTTCACTGTATGCAGTAATAGAGAGAACCCAATTGGTATACCCAATATTACATAAGCAAAGGGCTATTAGCCTTACTTATTGAATTTCTTTTCAAAGGTAGCCTGTCTACAGTGGCTGTGTCAGAGGAAACCGTGGAAGATGGAACAGTTGAGTGGGGCTCAAGTCTCACTGCCACAATGCAACTAAATAGAGAGGATAGAAGCAAAAAAGAAGGAGAAGAGATATCTGGTAAGATTGTGTACAGATGAATTTTGAAAAAGGAGTTGGTAGACTAACTGAATTCTCACTTTCGTGAATAACTCTAATTGAATTTAAAATTAAAGGCCAGAGTAGCCAAACTGAAAGTTTTCTTAGAATTAGCATTTCCATTTCTGCTATTTTTAACTTAAATTTGAGATTTACTTTGGTGGGGAAAAAAGTCTAGTGTGACTTTAAAGGGTTACTCTAATCTGCACTTTTGTGCTTGGAGCAGATGTGCTTGGCAGCACCTGCAAGGGTAAACTTCTATCTGCCAGCCCTCTAGCCTCTCTTTGTTTCTTATTGCTCTGTTTTTGTATTTTTATTTTTTAACCACTACCTTTGTTACCCACTTCCAACTTTCTTTGCTTAGAGAGTGCATGTGTCAAATGCTTTTCTATGCTTCCTTATGTTTTATGGATATATTTTGTCTATCTATTCTCCCCTTTGTTATATGAAGTTTTGCCTCCTTATACTTCCCCTTTTTGTTACTGAAAACTCGATTTTTGCAAATATTTCTTTCTGACTGTTCGTTCGAAGTAAAGTCCTGTTAATCCACATTCAACTCATCGGTTCATTTACCTGTGGAGTCTTATTCAATTAAGTATCTTGGATATGGAATATGGGGGGAGGAGGGGAGTGACGAATATCAAAGGATTTCATGAATTTAATTTTTTTTTCCCTGAAGAGGAGACTTTGCTGTTTTGGAAAGGTATTTCTGATGTGGGCCTAATGGATGAAGTTATCAGCAAGGTTCAAAATGAAATAGAGGTTCTTTTGAGTGGTGTCCAACAACGAATGAACGATTCTCCATTCCAGGTGGCAGGTTGGTACCATAGACTTTTTAAAAAGTGTTTCAAAGTTGAAAAGCGTGGCTTAATTGCCTTTTGTGATTCTTACTGGAATGCGAACATGTGAAAGGTCCCTCAGGTGATAATTTACTTTTTTTCATAATTTAAAAAAAAGAAAATTAGAGAGCTAATATGACACTGTGCATGCATGTGGTTTCTAATAATCAATAAATTGTACCTCAGCCCATGTGGTTTTGATGCTAGAAGTGTTCTCCCAGAATAATCTGTCAAATTGATTTCAAACAGTTTACACCAAGCATGTCAAACTCAAAGGCTAACATGGGCCAAATAAACAAGGTTTAAGTTTATGTGGGCCGCAACCCCCCCCCAATCCTTACATTTTCATAGAAACATAGGTTTGTTTTGAAAAGTACAGTATAAAAAAAAACACACACAATTTTATTTATTGTTCTCTACCTTTTGGAGCTGGTGTGGGGCCTCTCCCTGGGGTCCAGTGAGGATCTTCTCTTGGGAGGTCTCCTGCCTGCTCCTCACTGCTCACTCACGTGCAGTTTAGTGATGCTGGAATGACGTCATATTCCGGCATCACTACAGAGGGCGCGCATGAGGTAGCAGTGGAAGGAAGACGGAGCTCCCTTGCTGCCGCCAGCGACCTGCAGTGTGGGGGAAGCAGGTGCCTACTCTGCCTTAGTAAGCATATAAAACTCATGGCAAGCTGGGACGCAAAGATATTCATTGTGGACCGCGAGTTTGACATGCTTGGCTTACATCCATGAATGCCATGCCATTCCAAATAGTAGAGCAATTTACTCTGGGAGAGCGCCAGGGCACTTCTGGCACCATAAACACTGCAGTGGGCTGTAGTGGTCATAGTTCCTAGAGGTTTTTCTTTATTATGTGAAACTACACTGCATTTTTAGCCTATTTATTAATTTTATTTTTTAGAGTACTTAAATTAACTTTTATTGATAACATTAAAAAAATGTTTATCATTCCCTAATACTGGGATATGAAAGACATACTAAAAAAAAAGTATATATACTAGGAGACAGAACAAAAAAACATTGATAATGACACTCAACATAGGTTAGACTGAAAACAAAACAACCAAAATGGTGCTCCTAATTTAGATAAAGTGTGTATTGGAGGCAAATGTAGCTGTTTGTAAAAACTCTCCAAAGTAGCAGTATCGAGTAACAAAATGCTTAATGAATCACCAGATATCACTGAGTCATTCAGTATAGAGGCTGCAATCCGGTGGTTAGATTTCTATCAAATAAGTGTTGAAAAGATAATAAATTCTAAGGTTGTGGGTTATGGCGATCCCATGGATCTCTGTACATATCGTTTCATAAATTCTAAGCAGCAGGAAGGGTGCAAGTGCCAGTCGGTCCCTGTTATGGTCTAAGATTTTCCAAACTATTTGTCCCTACATATTTGACAGCCAGCACTTGTTCCCCTCATGTTGTAAGTCCAAAGTAGCAAATAAAGCAGCTAGTGGTCCCCCCCTATTTAATGTTCCTCTCTTCCCCCCTCTAGTGTTCCTCTCCCCTCCCTCCCTCCCTCCTTTTTTTTTTTTTTTTAAATTCTTTATTTTTGCAGTGGGAAAATTCCCTCTTGTTTTAATGGTAGCGTACAATCAATCATTACAAAGGAATAAAAAGAATACAAATTTAACATCACATTAAGTAATAATAAACATGAGTCTCTTTTGATTGAACATGTTAGCTTCTCTTGTGCGCTCCGTGACAAGTACGGGGAGGAAGCGGTGAGAACACAGATCTGTATATCGCACCAGCTGGTCATGCTGCTCAGGGTGTGCGGTATGCTTTAACTTTTTGGCATTCCGTGCGGGTTCGGGATTAATGGGTTGGTTTCTCATTTTAGCAGCTCTAGCGGGCTTACTTTGTGCAACCCGGTATAGCTCACTTTCGCCTCACGAGGGCTCATGGTTAACTCAGTGAGTGTGTATTGCCAGCTCATTGACCGGGCTTAAAATGTGCAGCTTGGTATATCAAGCCAACAGCTCATGGGGGTTTTTGTTTACTTGGTTCAACTTGTTGGCAGCTTGAGCGGACCCAAAGTGGGCCGTATAGCACTTCACGTTGGCCACCCCTGTAGGGATACAACATACTGGCTGCTCATGTGAGTTTTCTTAATAAAAACTAGAACAGAAATAGGAAAATAAATGACTGAGGTACATCCTGTTGGTGAGTCCCATAAGGTCAATGGTGTAGCACTTTAGTTGTGTGTAATAACCTCATGTTGGCGGTCTTAATAGGTCTATTGGTGTCGCTTATTAACCACTCCCATAGAATGAAAATATACGCATTGGCAAACTGCGGCGGCAGCACGTATTAAAATTTGAGTACACTCCTCCATATCACCTGTTCCCTACTCTAGTGGAGTGAGAGTATTTATATATAAGGGCAGTAGAGTAATACAACAAAATGGTATTAAATTGTCAGTACAAGACTACTATCAGAGAAGCACAATCTTGTTGGTTGGGGTAATGAGCCCCACATTGCCGTGGATAAATCTACAGACATGTATGCCCGGACTGATTTGCTAAAACTGTATTATGAAAGATACGTAAGAGACTCCAAAGTGTTTTTTCCTTTTTATATATTCATGTACCTACTGACCTATAGCTGTACTCTTTTACACCCTAAAGACGGGAAAGAGGAATGGGGGGGTATAGGGAGGGGGGGTCGGGAAAGTAATGGAAACCGTGTTAAAGGATAGGATTGTTGAACATCTAAAAACACATGGACAATAACCGACCCAATAGCCCATGGGTATGGTAGAAACTGTTAACATCACTATTATCATATTATATATTATCTCCAACCTTATGACTAGATGCCACCCTCCTTAACTGTCAGGACTCTTGATTAGTAATAATGACTGTTTCTAGCCAATTTATATAATGGAAGCATGGGACATATGTGGCATTGCATGGTTTCTTGTTTTGGGAGCAAGTTTCTAGGATAGGTAGTGCTGATATAAAAACAAACTAGATGTTGTATGTATTTATTTGTATTTTTGTGTATGCAGGCATGCATGTTAAAGGGACACAATCACCAAAACAACTTTAGTTTCATAAAGCAGTTTTGGTGTATAGATCATGCTCCTACTCAACCCTCTGCCATTTAGGAGTTAAAATACTTTGTTTATGCAGCCCTAGTCACACCGTCTCGCCTCCCAGCAAGTAATGTGCAAAGCCTTCCTAAACACTTCATGTAAAGTGATATCTTGTGTTTTTATACTTTATTGCACAGTCTGTTTTAATTTAGAATTTCTTACATCTTGTTAACAGCTTGATAAACCTTGCAGGAGCCTCCTGTGTGTGATTTAAAGTTCAATACATCTGATTGAAAATGAAACCAATTATTCATGCAGACTATGTTAGTCTCAGCTAGGGGAGATGTTGGCTTGGCCTGCATGGACAAAAACAAAAATGATTTAACTCATAAATGGCAGAGAATTGAGCAGTGATACTTCAGAGGTATGATCTATAGCTTTATTAAGCTAATGTTGTTTTGGTGACTATAGTGTACATTTAAGTAAGCATAAATGTTTCCTAGATGCCTCTCTTGAAATGTTGCGGCCCGTCTGCCCTGGGGCTGTTTTGTGCTGTGGCTCTCTGGTCCTTGTCTTGCCTCCTGTGGCCACAAGAGGGCAAAGTGCCTGTCTGTCTGCAGAGCAGGCCAGCCACTCACCCTTCCCTCCAGCTCGCAGTGCTAGAGGAGCATGTGGCCTGCTTGAGCAGAGTTGGCACTGGAGGACGGGCTGCTCATTGTATTAAATTGGGGAGGGAGCAGTGTATTATTTTGACGGAGGGAGGGGGCAATATATTATATTGGGTGTGGTAGTTGGCAGTGTATTAGAGTGGTAGGGGGGGGGGCAGTGTATTAATTTGGGGGCAGGAAAAGTGGCAGTTTATTAGAGTGGTGGGAAGAGGCAGTTTGTTAAATATGTGGAAGGTGTATTCATTTGGGGAGGGAGGGGGGCAGTGTATTAAATTGGGTGAGGTAGTGGGCAGTGTATTAGAGTGGTGGGAGAAGCAGGAAATGTAGTGGTTGGAGGAGGGGCAATGTGTTTAAATTGGGGGGGGGAGGCAGTGTATTTGGGGGAGGGACGCAGTATTAGAGTGGTGGTACGGTGGGCAGTGTATTAACTTGGAATGGGAGGGGGGCAGTGTATTAGAGTTTTTATTTTTTTACCAGCTGTGCAAAAGCATACATTCACTATTTCAGTCCTATTACCAAACTTTCTTAATATGTCAAGGTAGTTGGACTGAAACATTACTTTGAAGCCCTACGAGCATAAGAACATCCAGTGTCAGTTAGGCAACTTATACTGTACTTTTCTAAATAAATAACGTTTCTATGAAAACTGAAGTATTTGTATTTTTGCGGCCCACAAAAAACTTAAACCTTGTTTACATGGCCCGTGTTAGCCTTTGAGTTTAACGTGCTTGGTGTAGTGTCTTCCTATCCCAGATTATCTTATTACTGATATATGACCATGTATATTTTGAAGTTGGCATTTAGAATAAACCAGTGTTAAATCACTTGTTCTGTGAGGGGAATAAAATGACCTGTATGACTCCTAAGTACCTTATTGAATAGGGTGACTTCCATTGATCCTCTCTACTCACTCTCCCTGAAAGATGCCACAGTGCTCAGTAACATTGCACACAGCTTTGGCTTTCTTGATGCTGTTAAGAGAATCCTGGAACAGAAAAAGAATCAGACAGACCAGAGTGAAGAACAGTATTATTACACACTGACAGGTGAGCATCCGTCATTTACTTATATACTTCAAGATTATAAAAAATGAAATTGTTACGGTGTTAGTTTCTGAAATAAATTGACTTGGTCGTCACTAATTCTAATATTTTCTGAACTTTAGTGCAGTAATCAATGCAAAAATAATAATTTTACACCGTTAACATATTGTTATTGGATCCCTTTTCTTCTCAATTTATTGCTCTCTCATAACACCCTATTCTTCTGCTATATATCATATGTAATTTTTTATGTAAATGTTACTTCACTTCCTAATGTATACTTCTACCGTGAAGCTTTTATGTTATTGTTTTTGTTTTGTTATGCCTCTGACAATAAAGAATGTAAAAGAAAACCTATGTTGGTTTCATTCTCCCCTCTCCTTATCTCTACCACAAACTGCATTTAAAAAAAAAATATATTTACCATTCCATAACTCTAGGTCTTGGAAATAAAAATCTTATTTAGAATGTTTAGAGCTTGAACTGAAACATTTTCTATTGGATTGATGTAACAATAAAGAAAATGTTTATTTCCCCAAAAAATGGAAATAAAATGGCTCATTTGTGGAATGGCTATTTGATGTGTTGTTGAGCACTGGGCTTAATGCGGTGTGTATAGATGCACACTGTGCAGCACTGGACCATGAATCGCCTCTAGTGGCCATCTGAGTGACTGCCATGAGAGTTGTCCCAAGGCAGCAATTTCTATGAAAAGGCAATGTTTACATTGAAAAGCCTGAAGGGGCAGGCTATAGACACCAGAACAACTACATTAAGTTATAGTGTCCCTTTTATGAATTGCATTTTTCTTGTTGAAAATGAGTGTGTGTTTAGAAAAGACTGGATCCTAACTTTTTTAGCTGATTCTTAGATTCCAAACAAGTTTGTCATGCCCTGCTATAGTGTTAGGAATGCAAATGCCATAGTGAACTGCTCACTGGTTATTAAACCAGTGATCTGTATTCCTTTTTCTTATTCTCAAGGCAGACTTTCCCAATGATTTTCCAAAGTATTCATTTGTTAATGATTATATATTTTACTATCATTTGTTAAGCTCATACTTTGTATTTCTTCCTATGTGTAAATAAAGAATGTTTTAAATGTTTACTTAAGATCATAACTGTTTTTGTACTCTGCAGGTTAATATGCAGTTAATTATTATTCAGATTAAGGAATTTTATTGGAAATATTTTTTTTTTTTTTTGTCTGGAGCATACTTCCTGGATGTCACTTATTGTATTATGGCTGCAGATAACAGTGATAAACTCTGCATGGTTCTCAGTCTGATCTGTCATTACAGCCCCAGGTATTGTGCAGAGTGATGGGAGGGGCTAAGGATCTTGATTGTGCACCATATCCTGGCTCTTTGGGGGTGGGTGGAACAATACCTAAAATGCTACAGTTCTGGAGGAGTTTATGGAGGGAGGGGGTGGTAACCAGAAGCCAATTATGTCCTGAATGCAAAATAATGTAGGTACACTTCTGATATTTTTAAATGTTTTCTAATAGATGCTAAATAAAATACCTGTGTAAGTGAATAATTCCTGCAGATAATGTAAGAAAGGGGGCAGTTAAGCTATTTAACTTTGTCAATGGGATGAGCACAGCAAACTAATTTTGCATTTCTGGATACCTCACATACATTGCGCTCCTACTTATACTATGTTCTCCATGAATGATGCCAGATATTTTATTTTACACATGTTTTTTTTCTTTTTGGCTTTTAATGTATATATAATAATATATCATGTATATTTTTGATACCATAGATCTGGAACGTCAGTTGGAAGAACAAAGGAAGCAGGAAGGAAGAAGGTCACCACTTCTTCAAAATGTAGTTTTGATGCCTGTGAACAACCCCAAACCACCCAAGAGACCTCGTCTGCAACGCCCAGCATCTGCTGGCTCCTTGGGGACCACCTCTAATCAACCACACTACACAGTTCTATCACCACTCACTTTAGCTCCCGTTGGACAACAATTCTCCTTGGGTGGACTGAGATACACCACTGTGCTTGGCAAAGATGGGGCAGGGGATGCCCTAGCAGTACTAACAACTGAGATGCAAGAATCCGGCAGCTTGGCTGAGATGATGAGCCCTGTAGAGTTGGTAACCATGGATGCAGGACTCGGACAGGAGGGAGTTGGTGATGAGGGGCAGACTATCATTCAGATAGACCCAGCACCAGATCCAGAAGGGGGGTCAAAGGTCATGGAACTTGGTGATGGAAAGGTGCTAGGAGTTGGTCATTCTGATGGAATACACAATGTAGAGATTGTGGTGCTAGAAGATGATTAGGAAGGATGAGCGTAAATTGTGAAGGTCTGCTCCAAGTGGGAGGGATTTTTTTTTTGTGTGTTGCGAACAGTAAAGGGATTTAACGTTTCACTTTGAACAGTGAGATTTGGCTTATACTGATGGACCTAAATAGTATCTTACTAAATCAGACCTTCTGCTGAAAACTATATGTATGCTTTTATCCTATGTGTTTTTCTGTACAGAAACTGTTAGAAAAAAAAAAAAAATTAGAAAATAATTTTTTAATTAAATTTTCAGTGAGGTGTTTCTTTTTTTTTTTTTTTTTTTTTTGGTCCACATATCAGAAACACAATTACTCACAAATTAAATCCTAAAATGCCTGTTTGATTATTTCAACTTTTTTTTTTGTGGTACCAGATGCAATATATTTTACAGTTCAATGTTAAATTAGCATATATATTCTGCAGTGTTCTAGATGTAGTAAATGTAACCTGCAGAAACATGTTAGAATAATTATCTTTTATATAGCAACACCATATTCTACAGTGCTTTACAATAACACCATTGGTATGTAAAACAACATGGAGGTAAATAGGGCTGTGCTCAATCAAGCTCACAATCTAACAGGATGGAAAAGAAAACCGGTAAAAATGTGTCAGAGTGGAGGAGAGGATTATGAATATGATGCTTGTGTTTAATTATAGAAGAGTAGTGAATGCATGGAGTGTAGAGTGGAAGGAAGGGAATGTTGAGTAGACTGTAAAAGCACAAGTAATCCTGCACGTCCAAACTCTCTTGCTTACTTGTTTTAATTAATATATAATATATATATATATATATATATATATTATATATTTTTTTTTTATATGAAAATTCACCGAATAAATGCATAAGTAATGTGTGTGTGGGGGGTGGGAGGACTGGTAGCATGTGAGAAGCTACCCAGGCAGTTGGTAAGCTTTCCTTAAGAGGTGCATTTTTAGTGATGTCGTAAGGACTGGAGGTTAGTAGAAAGACTAATAGAACAGGTTAGAGCATTCCCTATAAAAAGTGCAGGCTTTGAGAAGTTCTATGGACAAGAATTAGCAGAGGTGGATTGATCTGAGAGCAAGCAGAAGTGGTATATTTGTGCATTAGAGAGGAAATGTAATGGAGATTAGAGTTGTTAAATGCTTTGTATGTCAATGACAGTAGTCTGATTTGGATCCTAATTGATACAGGAAGCCAATGTAAAGACTGGCAGAGGGTTGAGGTGAAAGAGGAGCAATGGGTGAGGTAGATAAGCCCGACCACAGCATTTATAACAGACTAGTGTGGGGATATACAGGTATGGGGAAGGCCAATGAGGAGAAAATAGCAATAATCAAGGTGCGGAATGATGCGCTTGAACAATTGCATTTAGTAACATCTTGTGTTAGGTGCAAATATGTGCAATGTTTTTAATATGGAAGTTGTCAACAAGCAAGTGATACTGGTATCCAAAGAAGTTCGAGGACCATTAAGGGCACCCTAACCTCTTATTCTAAATGAACTGGTCTGGGTGCAGTTGCCTTGTAGTTTTAACCCTAGAGGGTATGAACTGCATTGGTTCCATTGTAGGATTTTCAAACAGTCATTAGAGGCACTGGAAGCATTTGGATGATCGCTGCTTGTGCATAGCAGTAGCCAGTGTTTCCATGTGAGGAGCATTAGATTAGCAATCAGTGAGAGAGCTGGATTACATTGTGGGAGGTGGTGTGGGCAACAGCACCTGGAGAAAATGAGTTTTTTGTTAAATAAAGTGGGGGGGGAAGGTTGGAAACTAAACCGGCACCAGAATGCTGTAGCGTTAGGAATACAGTGTTTTCACATTAGTAAATAATCCCATTGACCGTTCACGAATAATAAACTTTTCTCCAGCTGGGATAGAGACCAGTGAACCACTTTCGGGGTTATTCACTAAAGTCCGAATGGCACCATACCGAATGAGGCAAAACCATTCACTTCTGTACTGGGACATTTGGACTGCAAAATCCAGACATTGTTAATCATATTTCACAATGTCTTGATTTTGTAATTCAGGCCCATTCACACCAAACGTTGCGGAATCACTGAAATCCGGACCAGGAGGCTTCAAAACCGTGCCGTGTTGAGAGGAAAAGAAATCCTATTTGTTATTTATAGTTAAAAGCCAGTGGCGACATAAAAAGCCGATTGGGGTCAGTAAGATCCTCCCTTCAGCGCCTGGACCGCTATTTGCTGTGTGCATCAGGGTAGTTGTAGTAATGGGGCGATGGACAGGTTATTGTCCACCACTTGTCTCCATCTATGGGCAGCGTGTGGGGGTGGCTATAATATTCAGGGGGAGGACTTTTAATGCCCCTCCTCCCATTGGTGGTGAGTGTGGGCCTTAATTATAATATGCAGGAGGAGGGCCTGTTGTTAACCTCTCATGGTAATACAGCTTATATCTTTAGATTAACTTTTTGCAAACTGCCACATGGCTAACCCTCAGTTTGCTAAATGGGTTATTTATCTATTTTACTGTTGGCTGCTAGTTCTACCAAACTGCATGTCGCGAAAGTAACCTCGCCACTGGTTCTTGGAGGGGACTGCTTGCCAGCCTCTTGCCCCAGGACTATGGCCCATGTATTAGACCTTGGTTCAGGGCTGTGGAGAGGCTTTGTTCGTCCCTTTTGTCCTCTATGGTTCGGTATATGGGGCTTACCGAACAGATTAGATTAATGCTGTTTGTATACCGAATGAACTGTCGATCGGACTGACCACCCAGAACAGTCGTGTGCTGCCTTATTGACCTCGCTAACCGCAACGTTCTAAGTGGTTAGCTGGGTGGCCGTTGTTCGTATGTGCAAACATGTGGCGGCGGCCATCTTTAGCCGCGAACACATACAGCTGTGTTTGGTTGTCAAGTGCATGGAACTATAATCAGACACTCGACGGCACAAACAATGCTGGGACTTCAATCTCTTTGTTCAACTGGATTCACTTGAGAAGAGCAGCGTTTGGTGGAAACACACTCCCCAATAGTGATGTCACGAACCGTTCGTGAACTTGCCGCGAACGGTTCGCCACGAACGCTCCGGTCAGCTGACACATCCCTGCCAATCCCCGGCAGACCCTCCTACTTCCTGGACAGCATCCATGTTGAAGGCAGCTTCAACATGGATGCTGTCCAGGAGGTTGGAGGGTCTGGGAGGGAGGGTCTGCCGGAGATTGGCAGGGATGTGTCAGCTGACCGGAGTTCGCCACGAACCGTGGCAAGTTCGCGGGAAGTTCGCGACATCACTACTCCCGAACAAGAGACACAGACTAAGTATACATACAAACTGGTTGCATTCGTATTTCTGTTATATTGTAAACTACTGAACTAGACCGACTGCAAGCCCTGATTCTCTGGAACTGTTTTGGGCATGGGACCATGCGTGCGGTTGGTCAAAATAAAACCTCCATGGAAATCCTGAACCCCTGAACAGATCTGGGTGACTTTTAGATAGGAAAGCAAGTGAACGATAATTTGCTCAGGTGCAACCTGCTGGATGAATTCGGTCCCTGTTCAGTTAAAAAAAACGCTGCTTTGTGAATCCTCCAAATTCTATACTATATGTCACAAACGCACCCTACTCCAAGAGTATGCGTGATGTAGTTGTGGTTGTGAAAGGGTTAAAGTTCACTATTTGTCTGCACTAGACCAGAAATAATGACAAAATCCCCCTTTAACACCACCCACACTTAAACATAATATAACTATTACTAATTTAATGCTGCCACCACCAAGTCAATTTATAAATGGGGTGCCTTGGTCCCCCAGGTAAATCAACCATAAAACCCACCAAATATTACTTGGTACAATATTCAAGGAATTACAAAAATACTAACTAGTCTCTTCAGGTAACGTGATTCTTAACCAGACAAAGGCAGAACTTAATAAATGAATGTTTATTATGAGCAAAAAATGTTCACAGTGCATATAAAAATATATGATAAATTATTTACACCAACAACAGATAAAAACAAAAAGGATAAAATACAGAAGTCCTAATTACTCACTTAGGTTTTCAAAGTACAACTTCTGTCCAGGGGGTCTCTGGCAAGGAAAGATGGTGACTCACTCAAAATTAGATCTTGGCCCCAAGCAAGTACACAAGCACCCTTCAGGATCATTAGATGTATACCCTGTGGTTTATCAAGTCTTGCCCAGGGGTGGCGATAAAACATACCCATAGAGATACTAAGTGACTACCTCCTTTGTTCCAGAAAACAACAAGCCAAATATAAACTTTTGGTTTTATATCCTCTACTGTACTTGCAACAGAAATAATAATTGCCTCTATGAATTTGTTATTATTTTCCCATTCCATAGATGGGTTGCACGCCCCACCCACGATCCAATAGGACAGACAGCACAATTCCTGCCACACGTTTTAAGTTGTGCAACTCATGTTTAGGCTTAATTAAGGGAGTGGGCTTATCCCATTCCAAATATAATAAAAATGAGGCTTAATTATTAAACTGTGGGTAAGTATTAATGTTTCTCTTGGATAAAATACTGGAACACAAGGATTTTCATGAAACTAATCCCATTACCATATCAAATGATTGAACTAGACTTTACAAGGTACATGCCAAATGGATGAATAGACATTCAGACTTTTTCCAAGTGTAGAACCTCACACCTTGCAGATCCTTGATTACTTCACATCCATATAGTACAATCCTTTTCACATTGCTATGCCATTCACACTACCCCTTCTGTCATCTGACCTCAGTGGGGGTCCCAGCTTCAAAAGATGTAACCCCTTTTGACCTCAACAATACCATCTCTGTAATTTGTGCCATTTACTACACAAATTACATTAAAGGATAATATTCCATAGGGTAATAGTAAATTATGCATCCTTGCCGTGACACTATATATACCCTATATGGCAGGGGTAGGCAACCTCTTATTGGTACTGTGCCAAAACAAGATTTTGTAGTCCTCTGTATATGTATATTTTTGTATATTGTGGTGTGTATGTAGCCATATTCTGCGTATGCTATTTGAGGGTGCTGCAGTTGCTTTGTAGTGTTGTATTTGTGTGTTAACTGTTTGTATTAGTTGTGTGGGGGGAGGCTATTTCTGCAGCTCTGTGTAAATCTAGCAGTGTGGGTGACTTTCAGGGGTCCAGTGGGTACTGGGATGGCCAGGTACAGGTCAAGGGCATAAGTTGTGATAGCTATCGTTCACAAGTACTGGCATCACTTCCTCTAAGTGCTGCCATGCGTAAATTGAAGGTTGCCCCTCACCACCAATCACCACTCGGTTTGCAACAGACATCTGAAGTCACACTGGGACTTTTCATAGGCTAGATCCTCTTTGGCTCTAGCAGCCTTGGTTGCCGTACAAAGTGCTATGCATGGCACTAATGTCATAGGATACAGATGCAAAAGATTTTTAATTCAGGTAGTGAATGCATCTGGTTGATTGCAGTAAATTCTGATCACATTCTGGCATTGTGGCTGGATTTTGTCAATCTGGACCAAAATCTGATATTTAGTCAAACCAGTTGGTGTAATTAGGGATATTGCAACCATTCAAATAACTAGGCAGTTAATATCCACTAAAGTATTCAGTTGAGATACATTTGTTTGAAAATGGGCAGGTTCCAATTTGATGAGGACAGACCCTCAGAACACAAGCTGTAAAAACTAATATTTATAGGGTTATTCACTAAACTTTTTATTTTTGTTAATTAAATCCTGTGGCAAAATTAACTGATCTGGGAAAATTCTCTAACTGAGCCAGTGTTACAACTTGACTACTATTGTATCAGTTTTGCAATCTGGTTTTAATTTGTGAGAGTTCATAGAATATCTCATTTTGTCATAAAAGGTCAATGGTGAGGGTAGCATGGTTATGCAAGAATGTATTGGTGTCTGATATGACTGTCAAAGTTTGCAAAATTGAGCATCATGAGGCAGTATTATGTAAAAACCTAAGTGATTACACATGGATGAATAGTGAAATATGGAGGTTCTTAAAGAGACACCCAAGTATAACAATAAATCAGGATTTTACTTTTATTGTGCTAGATGTGTGTTTTTTGCATCTTGAAGGTGCATTGTTACTGAGATTTTTATACAATCACATCGCTAATTTAATCAAATTCTCTTTTACATAACCTACATATCACAGATGGATTTCCACTACTGGACAAGAGCAGCACCATGCTGCAAATCCAAAAATGGTCCTTGCTCTAGATCGTTCACCCCGTTAGCATTGCAAAAGTGGTGTTTTAAAGCAAAATGTGTGTGATTGTCAAGAGAGCCTGAAAAATGTTATAGCTGTTTGTGCTTATTTACCACAGTATGGTGAATTGCAGAGACATTTGGAAAGGTTTATCAAAATGTTCTGTTCTAAACAGTAGAACAAAGAAATCCGTGGGACAATTCACTTGTGACTTTTTATTTTTATTTCTTTTACACATTTTTGCACCAACCTTTAAAACAGAATACTTTAATAACTTTCCCCAATGGTCTCTCAGTGTTGCTGTGTCTACAATAAATATTTTCTATGGTGATTTTTAGTAGTCTGGGATTCATTTTTTTACAGTGACAAAATATGGGT